GACCAAACTTAAGAGTCATTGGGATACAGGAAGGTACAGAGCTCCAAACCAAAGGAATGAGAAGTCTATTCAATGAAATAATACAAGAAAACTTCCAAGACTTGAAGAATGAGACAGAATCCCAAATCCTAGAAGCCTACAGGACGCCGAATGTGCAAAATCATAAGAGATCCACACCTAGACACATTATAATGAAGATGCCCAACATACAGAATAAGGAGAGAATTTTAAAAGCTACAAGAGAAAGGAAGCAGATTACATTTAGGGGTAAGCCAATCAGGATAACAGCTGATCTTTCAACACAGACTCTGAAAGCTGGAAGATCCTGAACATATTTCAAACACTGAAAGAAAATGGGTTCCAACCAAGAATTGTGTATCCAGCGAAATTAAGCTTCAGGATGGAAGATTAAATTAAAACCTTCCACGATAAACAAAAGATAAAGAATTTGCAGCTAGAAAACCATCTCTTCAAACATCCTCGACAAGACATTACAGGAAGAGGAAATGGAAAATAACAATGAAAACCAACAGTGGGATGTACGACAGTAAAGGGGGGGGGAAATAATCAAAGAGGAAAACAAACCATGTTTAGTAACAGAAATAAACAAATATGGCTGGAACAACAACCCATATCTCAATAATAACCCTAAATGTTAATGGCTTAAACTCACCAATTAAGAGACACAGGCTAGTAGAATGGATCACAAAACAAGACCCAACAATATGCTGCCTACAGGAGACGCATTTGATAGGAAAAGACATACATAGGCTGAAGGTGAAAGGTTGGGAAAAATCATATCACTCATATGGACTTCGGAAACAAGCAGGAGTGGCCATACTCATATCAAATAAAATAGATTTCAAGCCAAAGTTAATCAAAAGAGATAAAGAGGGACACTACATACTGCTTAAGGGAACCATACACCAACAAGACATAACAATCATAAATATTTATGCCCCAAACAATGGTGCAGCTATGTTTGTCAAACAAACTCTTCTCAAGTTCAAGAGTCTAATAGACCACCATACCATAATCATGGGAGACTTCAACACACCTCTCTCGCCACTGGACAGATCTTCCAAACAAAAGTTGAATAAGGAAACTATAGAACTCAATAACACTATTAATAACCTAGACCTAATTGACATATATAGAGTATACCACCCAACATCAAGCAGTTACACTTTTTTCTCAGCAGCACATGGATCCTTCTCAAAAATAGATCATATATTATGTCACAGGGCAACTCTTAGACAATATAAAGGAGTAGAGATAATACCATGCATCTTATCTGATCATAATGGAATGAAACTGAAAATCAACGATAAAAGAAGGAAGGAAAAAGCATACATCACTTGGAGAATGAACAATAGGTTACTGAATGATCAATGGGTTATAGAAGACATCAAGAAGGAAATTAAAAAATTCTTAGAGATAAATGAAAACACAGACACAACATATCGTAATCTATGGGACACATTGAAAGCAGTTCTAAGAGGAAAATTCATTGCTTGGAGTTCATTCCTTAAAAAAAGAAAAAACCAACAAATAAATGATCTCATACTTCATCTCAAAATCCTTGAAAAAGAAGAGCAAAACAACAGCAAAAGAAGTAGAAGGCAAGAAATAATTAAAATCAGAGCTGAAATTAATGAAATCGAAACAAAAGAAACAATTGAAAAAATTGACAAAACTAAAAGTTGGTTCTTTGAAAAAATAAACAAAATCGACAGACCCTTAGCCATGCTAGCAAAGAGAAGAAGAGAGAGAACTCAAATTACTAGCATACGGGATGAAAAAGGCAATATCACAACAGACACTTCAGAAATACAGAAGATAATCAAAAACTATTTTGAATCCTTATACTCCAACAAATTAGAAGATAGTGAAGGCATAGATAAATTTCTTAAGTCATATGATCTGCTCAGATTGAGTCAGGAGGATATAGAAAACCTAAACAGACCAATATCAATTGAGGAAATAGAAGAAACCATAAAAAGACTACCAACTAAGAAAAGCCCAGGTCCGGATGGGTATACAGCAGAATTTTACAAAACCTTTAAAGAAGAACTAATACCAATACTTTTCAAGCTACTTCAGGAAATAGAAAAGGAGGGAGAACTTCCAAATTCATTCTATGAGGCCAACATCACCCTGATACCTAAACCAGACAAAGACACTTCAAAGAAAGAAAACTACAGACCAATATCTCTAATGAACCGAGATGCAAAAATCCTCAATAAAATTCTGGCGAATCGGATACAAAAACATATCAAAAAAATTGTACACCATGATCAAGTAGGATTCATCCCTGGGATGCAAGGCTGGTTCAATATACAGAAATCAATAAATGTTATTCACCACATCAATAGACTTAAAAATAAGAACCATATGATCATCTCAATAGATGCGGAAAAAGCATTCGACAAAGTACAGCATCCCTTTATGTTCAAAACTCTAGAAAAACTAGGGATAACAGGAACATACCTCAATATTGTAAAAGCAATCTATGCTAAGCCTCAGGCTAGCATCATTCTGAATGGAGAAAAACTGAAGGCATTCCCTCTAAAATCTGGAATAAGACAGGGATGCCCTCTCTCTCCACTTCTGTTCAACATAGTTCTCGAAACACTGGCCAGAGCAATTAGACAGACGAAAGAAATTAAAGGCATAAAAATAGGAAAAGAAGAACTTAAATTATCACTATTTGCAGATGATATGATTCTATACCTAGCAGACCCAAAAGGGTCTACAAAGAAACTATTAGAGCTAATAAATGAATTCAGCAAAGTGGCAGGATATAAAATCAACACGCATAAATCAAAGGCATTCCTGTATATCAGCGACAAATCCTCTGAAATGGAAATGAGGACAACCACTCCATTCACAATATATTCAAAAAAAATAAAATACTTGGGAATCAACCTAACAAAAGAGGTGAAAGACTTATACAATGAAAACTACAGAACCCTAAAGAGAGAAATAGAAGAAGATCTTAGAAGATGGAAGAATATACCCTGTTCATGGATAGGCAGAACTAACATCATCAAAATGGCGATATTACCAAAAGTTCTCTATAGGTTTAATGCAATGCCAATCAAAATCCCAACAGCATTTCTTGTAGAAATAGAGAAAGCAATCATGAAATTCATATGGAAAAATAAAAGACCCAGAATAGCAAAAACAATGCTAAGCAGGAAGTGTGAATCAGGTGGTATAGCGATACCAGACTTCAAACTATACTACAGAGCAATAGTAACAAAAACAGCATGGTACTGGTACCAAAACAGGCGGGTGGACCAATGGTACAGAATAGAGGACACAGAAACCAATCCACAAAACTACAACTATCTTATATTTGATAAAGGGGCTAAAAGCATGCAATGGAGGAAGGATAGCATCTTCAACAAATGGTGCTGGGAAAACTGGAAATCCATATGCAACAAAATGAAACTGAATCCCTTTCTCTCGCCATGCACAAAAGTTAATTCAAAATGGATCAAGGAGCTTGATATCAAATCAGAGACACGCCGTCTGATAGAAGAAAAAGTTGGCTACGATCTACATACTGTGGGGTCGGGCTCCAAATTCCTCAATAGGACACCCATAGCACAAAAGTTAATAACTAGAATCAACAAATGGGACTTACTCAAACTAAAAAGTTTTTTCTCAGCAAAAGAAACAATAAGAGAGGTAAATAGGGAGCCTACATCCTGGGAACAAATCTTTACTCCTCACACTTCAGATAGAGCCCTAATATCCAGAGTATACAAAGAACTCAAAAAATTAGACAATAAGAGAACAAACAACCCAATCAACAAATGGGCCAAGGACCTGAACAGACACTTCTCAGAGGAGGACATACAGTCAATCAACTAGTACATGAAAAAATGCTCAACATCTCTAGCTGTCAGAGAAATGCAAATCAAAACCACCCTAAGATACCATCTCACTCCAGTAAGATTGGCAGCCATTAGGAAGTCAAACAACAACAAGTGCTGGCGAGGATGTGGGGAAAAGGGTACACTTGTACATTGCTGGTGGGACTGCAGATTGGTGCAGCCAATTTGGAAAGCAGTATGGAGATTTCTTGGAAAGCTGGGAATGGAGCCACCATTTGACCCAGCTATTCCCCTTCTTGGTCTATTCCCTAAAGACCTAAAAAGAGCATGCTACAGGGACACTGCTACATCGATGTTCATAGCAGCACAGTTCACAATAGCAAGACTGTGGAACCAACCTAGATGCCCTTCAATAGACGAATGGATAAAAAAAATGTGGCATTTATACACAATGGAGTATTACTCTGCATTAAAAAATGACAAAATCATAGAATTTACAGGGAAATGGATGGCATTAGAGCAGATTATGCTAAGTGAAGCTAGCCAATCCCTAAAAAACAAATGCCAAATGTCTTCTTTGATATAAGGAGAGTAACTAAGAACAGAGTAGGGACGAAGAGCAGGAGAAGAAGATTAACATTTAACAGGGATGAGAGGTGGGAGGGAAAGGGAGAGAGAAGGGAAATTGCATGGTAATGGAAGGAGACCCTCAGGGTTATACAGTGGAGGAGGTAGAGAGAGAGGAGGGGAGGGGAGGGGAGAGGTGGGGAGGGGGGAGGGGGGAGGGTGGAGGATGGGAAAGGCAGCAGAGCACAACAGACACTAGTATGGCAATTTGTAAATCAATGGATGTGTAACTGATGTGATTCTGCAATCTGTGTATGGGGTGAAGGTGGGAGTTCATAACCCACTTGAATCAAAGTGTGGAATATGATATGTCAAGAAATTTGTAATGTTTTGAACAACCCACAATAAAAAATTAAAAAAAAAATAGTAAATCACATTCTAATTACATGTTCAAATCTAGTCCTCTAATCCTTAATGCATTAGAAATTCAAGCCAAAAACTTCACCCCTTGTGCTATTATGGCCAATAAAGCAAGTATCCTAAACACATAAACCTGAAATGGAATCTTATTTGCAATCAATCAATTACTTATATTCGCTGCTGTAGGTGGTGAGCTCACTGTCATTGTGCATCCACTTGAATTCCAAAGGCCAGCTCCCTTCTGCAAGGCAAGTGAGGACAAGGCGATTCCCTTCCAGGTGCATCTGTGGTAGGCCTGGCTCTGTTTTAAAATATGGTGCAACATCATCTGAGATTTAAAAGGGGAGAGAGAGAAAGAAAAACACTGAATAAACAATTAATAAATCAATTATGTAAACAGAATTTAACCTTAAGCTTTCAACTCTGAATCTGTCAACAAAAATGACACAGGTACATTAAAGTGGATTGGAAATAATAATGGAGAGCTTATATATCCTTTATGCATATTTTCATGTTTTTTTCCAAATGTTCTAATTTCACCTTTTGCTTTTCTCAAAAGAACAGACCTCTAAAAACATTAGAATCTCATAATAACACACAGTCTCTCAATGACTTTTAAGGAGATATAAAGGAGGAAACTTGTGGTATAGTCACACAATGAGATATTACACAGCAATGAGAATGATACACCTAAGTTATTTTTAGGTGTCCGTCATCTAGGATAATGGGGAAAAATGGGTTAAAGAGAAGAAATAATGGATGTTTTAAGTAGCAAATAGTCCCAGATCTGCCAGAAATATGCAACAGCCCAGACGATATTTCACAAGGCCAAAAATTCAATGGTACCACTATTTGAAAGCATATGACAGGTTCATCTAAAGTTTTTTCTACTTATGATTAATACTAGCTTATCAAAGGGACATATCAGGCAATCCCTGCTCCTACAGGTCTTTGGTTTTAACTAGGCAATCTATTTTCAAAGTAACAATCAAGGGTATTCAAAGTAACAATCAAGGCTATGATAGAGAAATTTCTTCACATAGGCTTCAATAGATTTTTAAAAAGTGACAAGGATAAGTAAGATTAACATACATACACAAATGACATGACTCATAGTCTAGCGCACTCTCTCTCTCTTTCTCTCTCTCTCATACACACACACACACAGTCTCTCAGTGTCTTTTAAGGAGATATAAAGGAGGAAACTGGTGATATAGTTACACAATGAGATATTACACAGCAATAAGAATGACACAACTATTTTACACATGGTACCATGGATGAATTTCATAGCTAAAATGCAAAATGATAGAACCCAGATGGATGGAATTAAAGGTGGAGTACATGCTTCGATTTGCAAGCTTTTGTTCAGAACTAGGCAAAACTACTCTAAGGTGTTAGCAGGGTAAGTATTACCTATGGATGATAGAGAAGTGATGAAGAAGGGCTTTGGAGAACATGTGACATAGACTTATCTATTTTGTGGAAATTCACAGAATTCTCCATATGCTTTATGCTTTCATTGCATATATGGTTTTGTATCAGTGGTTTTTTGCTTGTTTTTTTAAATGAATGCAGGGCTTCTGCATCTAGTTCCATCCCTACTTAGATATATGACCCTGATCAGGGCAGGTGAACTTGTTTCTTTCTTCATCCATAAAATAAACAGAATTAGGTGACCTCTCATGTTTCTACTAAAATCCCGTAAGATCCACCATGCAGTCAGAATCCACTACTTCCAGTCTATCTTTCAGGCCTCCTGCCCTCTCTGCTCCATGCAGACTTGTCTGCTTTTACATTTAACCAGGGCAAAGATCCCCCCGCCCCCACAGCCTGCATTTCTCCTTCCCTTACCTGGGATACTCTGTGCAGGCTGAGTTAACTAAGGCTCCTCCCCACCAGTATATCCTAAATCATTACATTTATTGCAATCACAATATTTGTATCAGAGTTTCAAATTATTTATAGATTATGCCTTAGTACACTTCCTTTCTTAATCATTTCTGAATTCCCAGCATCCATTACAATGCCAGAAATAGACTAGATAATAAATTTGTATAGAGTGAATAAATATAATGGCAGTAAAGAAAAAATATAAGAAATAGCTTGCATTTATTGCGTAATTAACATGTATTAGAAATTGTCCTAAGTGTTTTATATAAATTTATTTACTTTTGCAAAACCCTATGAAATAGGTATCATTTTCATATCTATTTTACAGAGCAGTAAACAGAAGCACAAAGAATTTAAGTAAACTGCTCAAGAACGACCCAGCCATAAATGGTTGTCATTATATAAATCCAGATCTAGAACTCAACCAATTCTATACATATGAATCAAAATGTTACAAATTTCTCAAAAGCAGGAATTTTCTTCTCAATCCATATCTAACTTCAAAGTTTTGATAAGTTAGTTTGTGGACTTATTTGGCTGGACTTTTAAATTAAATTACTATTTCTTTAACAAATTAAACATCAAATAAAATAACAGTACTAAAATTGCACATAAAGTATAGTTACACATGAAACTTTGTACATACACTAATACTAAATATATACAATGTAAATATATTACCAGCACTCCCTGTCCACAGGTTCTACCTCTGCAGATTCAATCAATAGTAGGTAAAAAGTATTCAGAAAATAAACTTTCCTGAACAAGACCTTTTTTCTTCTTGTCATTATTCCCTACATAGTAGGGAATTAACTAATTAACTATTTATCTAGCATTTGCACTGTATTAAGAGTTACACATCATCTAGAGATGATATAAAATGTATGGGAGCATATGTGTTATATGCATATATATATACTACACCATTTATAATCTATGGATGTGAGCATCTGTGGATTTGGATATACACAGTGGGGCCTAGAACCAATCCCCAGTACATACTTGGGTATGATTATATAATTTGTCTTTGTGTTGACCAACTATATATAATTGATACACTGGCAGGACCAACCACTTACTAGTATTTATTAATTTGTTTACTCAAATAAATAAATGGTAAATTGGAACTTTGTGGTCAGAACATATAGTAAGGTGACTTAAACTGGTCAATGAGATTGAATGCAGGAATTGAGAGCTAAAGGATCAGAGGTCAAATACTCCAGCAACAGTAAATACAAGGGGCCCATTGGTAAGAAGAAACATGATGAATAACTTTGAAAAGTACAAAAGAATAAAAAATAGCCCTTACTGCAGGGGCAAAGAGTGAATGGAAGGAGGGTGTGCTAGGCCCTACAGGCAAGGCAAGCACATGCCATCCTGCATGCATATCAGTGATGTCCACTTCACAATAAAAGTGTTCTCATTTTAGTGACAGATGATATGATCATCCTGTTTATACATCTTAGTCAAAAGTACTGTCAATGTGAAGGTGATGATAAGCTATTACTACCAAAGAACTGCAGGAAGCCTTAGAAAAGGTTGTGTAGTAAAAGATCATTCTGGTTGCACTGCAGAGAAAAGAGCTAAAGAAGGACTGGAGTAGTGGGAGATGATTTGGAAGACCACCACAGGAATCCAGGTAAAATGCTCTAAGAGGGGACAAATGGTGGGTTGGTTGGGCAAAGATAGCAGTAGGAATTGTGGTGGAAGAGATGGAGAGAAATGGGTGGTTTTAACATACTAAGTGGATTCAATGATGGATTGGGTATGGAAGTGAAGATGACATAGTTGGTCCAGAGGGATTCTTAAGTTTCTGGCCTGTATAATTTTCTGGTCCATAAACAGACAGTGATTCTATATGACAGACCCTGTAATCAGCATTGGAAATATAAAGAGAATAAGACATGGCAACTGTCCCTTAAGAGATTATGGGTCTAAGTCTGATGACACAGGAATATAAACAGTCAAGTGTTAGGTGCTATAACAAAACATGTCAAAGTCAGGAGGAGCCAATGATACAGGTCCTATTTCAAGAGTTACACCTGCTTCTGTTGCATATGATGTGGTATAAGATGCATTTCAAGTGTATTTCTAGGTTTTGATTGTCAATAGTGTGTCCAATTTCCATTTATGCTGTGTACTTCAACTAAAAATCATCCACTTTTATGACCCAAAGAGTGTAATAAAGCTGAATTGCAATGGATATAGCTTTGATACCTTGGGATTTACTGAGCTGCAGGCTTTATTAATGTCTTGCCATTTGCACTCTCTTTAACAATAGAAAAAGAAATGCCACTTCATATGGTTCCAGTGTCCTACATGCATGAGTCATAAAAAATACATCTTTTTGAAAGGAAAAACTTAAAGATAGAAGCTCAAGAATTTGAATTTGGTTTTACAATTGACACTGCATCATCAATTTAATACATTATACAATAATGGTTTTGAATGTAAATCATGCCACAGCTCAGTTCTTCAAAGAACTCATAGTTAACCAAACATGCCTACACAAATGTACAAATTATCATGCTTGGTACTGTGATCTAACAGAAAAAATTTTTTTTCACAAAGAACAGTTTTCCTACAATTTGCAACAAATATTTTTGTAGTCTAAGTGATGATAGGATTATGGTTAGCATATATGCTGATATTTATTATAAGAAGGAAGGGCAAATATGTCAATGTTCTGAAGTTTTAAACTTCTAAATTAAAATTATTACCACAAATATTTTAACATAGATTAGCCAATGTGAAAATAATAATCTTCTGAGCCCAGCATTATGTATCACTGAAAAATATGCAGAGATCTTGAAATTTAATGAGTACATAAAGGTAACAAAATACAAAGCTTTGGGAAGAGAAAGAAAAGGGCAGATTAGTATTCAGGTGTGCACGGACCCCCACAAAAGCATGTGTTCTTTCTATACTTTAAATAGGATAGAGAAAAGTTTGAAAAGATCCATAAAGAAGAAAAATGATTGAATTACCTCTGAGGTAAAGTTATCAAACTTTGACCTGGGAAAAAGCCAATGGTGCACTTAATGCTCTTTGAGAAGTAGGCGTGTATATGTTTTAAATAATAACTAATAGATCACCCCCCCTCAGAGAAAACATATAAGAGATTATGCACACTTACATATTCTAACAATGAATATTCTTAGGTCCTAGAATGAATTACCAAGAAAAACTGTGAAATTTCTATTTTCATACTTTTAAAAAGAACATAAATCATTTATGAAAGAGAGTCTCATTTGTCTGGATAACATAGATTTAAGGTCCATCCAAAGGAGAGGAACAGAGTTAATGTTCTTTCAAGACAACACCATAATTTTATGATGTCAAAGTCACTTCCATAAATGGACTTTCAAGGTTTTCGGATATCATATAAATGGATTTAACTTTACCTGCCCAATGCAAAGATAATCTTCTCATCTA